GAAAATGAGAAAGTTATGCCTACAAATGAGTTAAAAATAACTTTAAGAGAGAAAACTTGTGGTTTAAATATATGGCAATGACTCTGCTGAAACCAAAGCACCAATAAAAACTATGCTGAAAAGAAACATTGCTGGGCACGGAGGTTTAGCTCTGTAATCTTAGTACTCTACCACTAGAGACAAGAGTATTACCAGGCTGGTGTATGGTGAAGTAAATTGGAGGCTGCTTTTATTTTATTTTTATTTTAAAATAATAATTATTATTTAAAACAATAATAATTTCATTTAATATAATATAATAATTTAAATAATAATTTAAAATAATAATAATTATTATTGTTATTATTATTTGGGGAAATAATGGTAACAACTTATCCCAACATATATTAGCTTCCATTGGTGGAAAAGAGAAACTTGTGGTTTGTGAGCAAATTCTACCAACAACATAGGTCAGTGTCTTTCTACCATGTCAGTAGATCCACAAGCTACATTGATTTGAGCAGCTTTTCTTACCTGAATACTCCTGGCATCACTTGGATTCATAACAACAGAAACTGCAAAATTTTTGTTCCCTTTCAGTTTGATTGTTATTAACCATAACACAACATAAAACTTAAAAGGGGTTAAAGAAACTATATAAGACAAAATCAAATAAAAGATTCATTGTACAGATTTGAGTATGTTTATCCTATATTATATGTCTAATATCCACTTATAAGTGAGTATATACTATGTGTGTCTTTTTGCTTCTGGGGTACCTCACTCAAGATGATCTTTTCTAGTTCTCACCATTTGCCTACAAATTTCATGATTTCCTTGTTTTTAATCCTTAAGTAGTATTCCATTGTGTAAATGTACCACAATTTCTGTATCCATTCCTCAGTTGAGGGACATCTAGGTTGTTTCCAGATTCTGCCTAAAATCTGTACACCTAAAAAAGCTAATCAAGAAGAAGACTCTAGGTAAGATGCTCAATCCTCATTCAGTAAGGCTAAGAGGATGGACATCAGAAGAAGGAGAAAACAGGCAACAGGAATAGGAGCCTAATACAGGGGGCCTCTGAAAACTCTATCCTGCAGGATATCAAAGCATATGCTGAGACTCATAGCCAAACTTTGGGCAGAGTGCAGGGAATCTTATGAAAGAAGGGAGATATAGAAATACCTGCAGGGGACAGGAGCTCCACAAAGAGAGCAACAGAAAAAAAATCTGGATAGAGGGGTGTTTTCTGAGACTGAAACCCCAACCAAGGTCCATTCATGGAGATAACCTAAAACCCCTGCACGGATATAACCCATGACTGTTCAGCGTCCAAGAAGGTTCCCTAGTAAGGGGAGCAGGGACTGTCTCTGACATGACCTGATTGGCTTGCTCTTTGATCACCTCTTCCTTGGGGGGTGGGGGTGCAGCCTAACCAGGCCACAGAGGAAGACAGTGCAGCCACTCCTGATGAGGCCTGATATACTAGGATCAGATGGAAGGGGAGGAGGACTTCCCCTTTCAGTGGACTGTGGGAAGGGTATGGGTGGAGAAGAGTGAGGAAGGGTGGGAATGAGAGGGGAAGAGAAAAGGGGTTATAAGTGGGATACAAAGTAAATAAACTGTAATTAATAAAATTAAAAAATAAAAAATGTTAAAAAGAAAAAAAAAACAGTCATTGTAAAGAGTCAATGCAGGTAGCCAGCTACTGTGTTAATGAACATAACACAGAGATTAAATGAGAGTTTGGAAGTAGGCAGAAATGATGGTGGAGTTTTGTATTATTTCTTTTTTTTAATTTTATTTTTTCTTATCAGTTACATTTTATTACCTCTGTATCCCAGCCGTGTCCCCTTGTATTATTTCAAGAAGTGGAGAAGGAAGGATGAAAAGAGAAAATCACTGTCAGTTTGCCATTCCAAAACACATTGCCATGGGAAACTGAATCAGCAACAGTGTTACATAAAACCAAGTGGGTAGAAACAAGAATTTGCCTTTCTCATTGGTCTTAGACATGGGAAATACCTAGTTATAATTGCTTTCCATGGCAGTTGCTCTACATTATTTAGATTTAAATCCCTGCTTCAACATTTATAGTCTCTGTGACCTGAGGCATGTTGTTTAACTTCTCTGTGTCTCAGCCTCTGGTGTCTAAGATGTCACAAAAATAGTATACACTGCCAAAAGTAATTTTAAGAAAAGTATGAAATAATCAATCAGAATAAATTGTACTCAGGATACACTGTAGGAACTATTATTATAATTACAGATATTATGACTTGATACTTGGTTCTTATACAAGATAAAATATTTATTTGGCTATTATCAGGTGACACAATACAAATAAACAAAATGCCTTATACTTAATGCATATTTATAAAATTTTTCTTCTAGGTTAGAAATATAATAGAGGTAAATTGTGTGGTTTCTGGCTTGGATAGGGACAGTAGGATGTGGAAAATTGGGAAGGCTTTTGGTACAATAAGTTCAGTATGCCTTTTTAGGACAAGAAAATGAAGTGGCTATTTATTGAAAAAGTGTTCAAAGATCAAGATTTTAGTCCTACCTGTGCCACTAATAAATTGTGCAAATTTGAACAACTAGTCTTCCTCTTGGGTACTTAGTTTCTCATTAAAAAATGCACTTACTCCTGATGATACTTGATAGATTAGGATCAGAAGGAAGGAGAGGAGGACCTCCCTTATCAGTGGATTTGGGAAGAGACATGGGTGGAGAAGGAGGAAAAAGGGTAGAATTGAGAGGGAGCTACAGGGGGGATACAAATCAAATAAACTGTAATCAATAAAAAACAAACAAACAAACAAAATGTATTTCTGCCCAGAAGAGTTGTTTGGAATGTGTCCAGTAGGTCAGAGATTTCCAATTGTATATGTGTGCATTTATTACTTGTCCTTTATTTTGCCTTTCAGTTTCCATATACCTTGTAAAAAAAGTTCTGGAACCAGTGCACTAGTACCAATCTCAGTGTTCTAGTGTAGTCCTGCAATCAGGAAGCCAATGGTAGAACTGTTTTTTGTTGTTTTGGAAAATTCTAAGTAGGATACAAAGTGTAATTCAGGAACTTCTGTTGGGGACTTAGCCATAAATGACCCCAAGAACCATTTAGCCTATTTCCTATGCTTGGGTGTTTTGGACTAATCAAGAAAATGCTAGCTAATAGCTGGAGTCCAATTTCAGTATCTTATAGATAGAAATGAAACAGATGATTTTGAACTTTCTATTTATATCAAATAATTTGATCCTAAGTCTCCAATAGGTAGCAGCTGTAGCTTCCCAATATTAGGATGCTTTAGGTGAGTTGTTTGTAGATTGAATGATAAGAGAAGAGCTACACCTTTCAGTTAAGTTGTGAAAAAGAACAAAAAGGTTGTCCACAAGTCTTTAGATACATAAGCTTTAGTGGTCAGGAATGCAGAGTCAAAGAGAAATGTACAAAATTAAGCATACTAGTTTTTAAAAGTATAATTTAATTTTCTTCTTTTATTTTAAGGTTAAAATGATTATCTTACCCTCCCTTCTCTTTATTACATTGAAAATCTCCCCTACACCTCTCCTTGTTTTCTTTCACTCAGCTCATGGCCTCTTTTTTCTTTAATAGTTGTTACACCCACATATATACAGGCTCTTTCCAAAGCTAAGGAAACACAACGGAAAAGATGTAGGAGCTGGAACATGGGGATAGGCACAGTAAAATATCTTTGGATATGATACAACCATTGGACTCACTGAAAATGTGTCTATTTGATAATACTCCCAAAGATGAGGAGATGAGGTATTCTTGAGCACAATAATTACTGGTGGTTGGGGAAGAATGGATCATTTTTTGTTGTTGTTGATAATGTAGCCACTGGTAAGTTACCCATGTTCCAGTAAACAACCTCCCATTATGCTCATGTATACAGCTCTAATTGAACTCAGTGAGTCATAAGCAGAAAGAAGACAGGGGTGTAAATGGGAGAGATGTTCAGAAGAAGTGTTTCAGCAGGCAGGAGGGAGGTTAGAGAAGGAAATGAAGAAGCAAAATAACTAAAATTAATTATATATATGTATAAAACTCCAAATTTAAAAATTAGAAAAAACAGATTTAAAATGAAGGAGCCACCACAACTAACTATTTGTAGGAGTTAATCCTTTAGATTTTGATCATAAACAATGTTCTTCAAGTCTAATCATGAACACCTTGTATCCCATGGCAATTAAATGTTGTTACTGTTTTAAATAGAAAAGAGAATCTCTGATTTCCTCTTTAGAAGTATCACTCCTCTTGTGAGTGGTGTGGGCAACATGATGGAGACAAAATGACTAAGATCCTTGATGACAAGATCAACAGAGTAAGAGTTGTAATGAGAAGATTGGAAGGAAGAGGTGAGGAAGCCATAAAAGCTGGGAGCTGGAGATGACAGTTGGTGTATTTACTGATAGGAAAAATGGGCAAATTGGGTGTTGTTGTGAATAGACAATGATGATTTAATAGTTATGAAGAATTATGGCAAAGTTCTGAATGTTCTAAGCTGTTCATATAGATATTTTGAATTTTTATTAGATGTTAGATTACTTTCAAATACTCATTTTTTCCTTAGGAAATAGTGTACCTCAAGTATGTTTTGTTTGTATTTACAAGAAATGGTTAATGTGAATACAGGGCTGTCCAAATTTCTTCTAAGGGACTTTTTGTCGGGTTTAATTTCAGGATGAAGGCCTCTGAAAGTCACTATATCCATGTCAGAGTCTCAATAATTGTGTATGGATGCATGCTTATATTTTTTAGGTTATTTTTGATACATAGGGGACCAGAAACTCCTTGTTGCAATTGTCTTGGCTCCAAGGCTCATTTCCATTTCCACGGCTCAAGAGGCACAATTTTCCTGTCTCAGTAGAAAGTACACGGTGATCTTCCAAAAGTTGCATTTACCCACATGATTATTTAAAGTACAATAAAGCCTCACTGTTACTGTCTCTCTTCTTAGAGTGGAGTTTTCATCACACTGAAAACTGGAGAAATGGTTCTTATGGGTGTGGATGCCAGATGCCTGAGTCTCTTTCTTCTTTGTACAATAACCAGTCATTCTTTGGAGATAAAAGGTAAATAAAAATGATTTTAAGGAAAGGTAAAGTTAAATTGATTTTAATGAGATAATCTTAAAGGATATGAACAGTGTTTTCAGTCTGTATCATGAAAGTGTAAAACTAGTAGATACATTATTAGTAATATTGTCATGCTACAAAAATATGTGTCCTTGGTAGCTACTCATATGTATAGGTAAGGGCACTAATAATCACATTTTCTTGGATTAAATGCTAAATCATAAAATAATTTCCAGACCTCTTGTATAGCACTATTTTAAGGAAATAACTCAAGTATATGAAAATTATATTCTTCTCTTTTCTTACTATTTTTGCTTTTTATGACAACTGGATAAAACAGAAAAATGGAAGTTTGAACTAGGTATACAAATGATCTGAGTTTTTCAGCATCTAATGAACATTGAATTTGACACAGATTTCTAACCTTAAGGATGAAAACAACAAGGTGGCCGAGTCTTTCTCAATGGGGAGCTTCTTTATAGGCACAGGAGAGAGTACCTGGTCAAGTATGAATATTGAAATGAACAACATTTATCAGAGAAAATTAACCAAAAGCTAACATGAGGGTAGTACTGTACTGCTACTAGACTTTTTACTTAGAACGTTTATAGGAAAGGCTTTGTTTGCTAAACTCTATAGGTATCTCTGAACTTTAGTGAGCTATATATTTAATTAATTTCATGGACTACTCTCAAGACATGCCTTTTTTTTCCAAATTCTTAAGGTGTTGAGGCATAGTAAATTACGTTTTTTTTCTCCTTTTCTTTTTTTGCATCTATCATAATGTTCTATGCTGATCATAACATGACAGCAAATTATTATCAACTGGTTCTTGCTACTAGAGACATTTATTTAGCTATCTTTTTTAACATATGACACAAATTCTGATGGATACGTCCACCACAAAGACTCTATGATAACTGTATATCTGTGCAGCCGTAGTTCTTAGAGAGGCAAAAATCACATTGTGCTCATGTGGTTTCTTTTAAAATGACAGCTACTCAGAAAAATTGTGGACTACAACAGAGTTATTCATATGACAGAAATGTCTTCATTTTCTAACATAGCATTTGTAGATTATTTCAGCATATCCACAAAGTTATAAAACCACTACTGCCATCAAATTCCAGAATACTTTCAGTCTCAGCAGGAGAAGCCCCATGCTTCTGGTGACCACTAATCTACTGTCTTCACCTATGGAATTTGGTATAAATGAAATCATTAGATATGTGCTTCTCTTTACTTAGCATAATGTTTCAAGGCTTTTCCAATTATAATCTCTTTTCAGTCCTTTATTCTTTTTTTTTAAGTTAAATAATATACCACTGTATAGATGTGCTAGATTTTTTATTCAGTAATCAGGTGATGGGCATTTGAAAATTATTCACATTCAACAATCTGTGTCATAAATTACAGGAAAAATATAAACATTTTAAAATTTCATTTCAGTTAATCCTCCCCAGGATTTTGAAATACTGGATCCTGGATTACTGGGTTATCTCTATTTGCAATGGAAACCTCCTGTGATAATAGAAAATTTTAAGGAATGCCCACTAGAATATGAGTTAAAATACAGAAATGTTGGTAATGACAGCTGGAAGGTAAGTGAAGTATGGCTAGCAACATCAGAGCAATCTGATCATTAGGTGTTTTCCAGTAACTCCTGTCTCTAGTATTTACTACTTTGTGTGCCTTAACAGTTCTAATTACTCTGTGAAAAGCTGTCATGTGAACTTCTATGTTCTGTTTTCATCTTGTTCAATATAAAGAACACCATTGAAAGAATAAGAAAAAAATTAGAAATAGAATATGAATAACAAATCAATGACTATGCAACACAATATTGCTTGTGAAAATTATCGATTTAACTCCAAGTTTTTAAGAGCTCATGCTTCCATCACAGATTCTTTTCCATTACTAAGTGTTTCCTCTTTTGTTTGTTTTGAATGACAATTTCGAATGATACCTTATACAGAGGTCATCTCTGACAGAAAACTATCTGGGATACTATTGTGAATAATCATCTTAGATTTTAATAATTGTTTAGTTTGTTCACGTAAATCTTTATTCCATGTATTTCTAAAATGGACTCATTCGTCTTTTTACCAATCAGACCATCATTACTAGGAATCTCATTTACAAGGATGGGTTTGATCTTAACAAAGGCATTGAAGGAAAGATACGCACACGTATGTCAGAACAGTGTGCAAATGGATCGGAAGTTCAAAGTGCATGGACAGAAGCTTCCTATTGGATATTAAATGAAGGTTAACACAACGTTTTATTTTCACATTTGATATATTCAGAAATATCCTTGTAAAGAATAAGGTTCTTAACTCTTATACAGATGATTATTTGCCTAGTAAATCTTGTGATGATTAGACATAAATTAAAATATTTTTTAGTATAAGTGACTTGGCTTTTTAAACTCATTAAATCAAAAAAGCCTTTTTTTTTTTTTTTTTTTTTTTTTTTTTTACTAAGTCTACCTCTAATTGGTAGAGTTGTCAGTATATGGATATATATTAGTAATCATGAACGGATATTTGCTCAGTTATTGAGGGTATCTTGGCATAATTAATTTAATAATTTGACAAAAACTAGTGTCAGTAAATAAGCCCTCAAAGCTTTTTAGGCTTGCATATTCTTTTTACAGTGAAGTGATTTTTGATAGATTTCTTTTGTAATGATTCTCATTACCCTTATTGCTAACTAAAGTAGGAAGGCCAAAGAAAATAAAATTGCATAGTGATCGGATACATGATTTGTCGCTGTGTTTCTCAGGTATTCATTGTTCACTCATTTCCTAGGAAGCATGGAAACTAAAATTCAGGACATGAACTGTATATATTATAACTGGCAGTATTTGGTCTGCTCTTGGAAGCCTGGCAAGACAGTACATCCTGATACCACTTATACTTTGTTTTTCTGGTAAGTATTTTTATACTTAGAATCCCACATTGGGTAAACATATCTCAAGGTTAGCCCACAGTACAAGCAATTATATCTCTACTGAAATACAATCACTATCTTAACCAGAGATGTATTTATGATGACAATTATTCATAATTATGTGGGAATTTTAGGCTGAAATTACTGCAAAGTGTCTAGTGACTATACCATATTACTTCTTAAAATATTCATTTGTTTATTCATTCTTTTATGTTTTATTTATTACAGTTTATTCACTTTGTATCCCAGCTGTAGTCCATCTCTCTAATTCAGTCACAGCCCCACCCTTCCTCCTTCTTTTCCTTCCATGTCCATACTAGAGTCCATTGATAGAGAAGGACCACCTCCAATTCCATCTGACCCTAGCCTATCAGGTTTCATCAGGAAGGGCTACTTTGTTTTCCTCTAGGGCATGGTAAGGCTGCCTCCCTCTAAGGGGGACGTGATCAAGGCAAGAGCCACTGAGTTCATGTCAGAGACAGCACCGGCTCCCTTTAGGAGAGAACCCACTTACAGACTGAGCTGCCATGGGCTACATCTGTGCAGGGGTTGTAGGTTATCTCCATGCATGGTCCTTGGTTGGAGTATCAGTCTCAGAAAAGACCCCTGGCCCAGAATTTTTTGGTTCTGTTGGTCACCTGGTGGAGCTCTTGTCCCTTCCAGGTCTTTCTATTTCCCCCTTCTTTCATAAGATTCTCTGCACTCTGCCCAAAGTTTGCCTGAGTCTCAGCATCTTCTTTGAAATCCTGCTGGGTAGAGTCTTTCAGAGGCCCTCTGTGGTAGGCTTCTATCCTGTTCCCTGTTTTCTCCTTCTTCTGATGTCTTTTCCTTTTTATTTTCTTTCTGAATGAGGGTTGAGCATCTTCTCCTGGGTTTTCCTCCTTGCTTAGTTTCTTTGGGTGTACAGATTTTAGTATGTTTATCCTACATAATATGGCTAATATCCACTTATATAAGTGAGTATATACTATGTGTGTCTTTCCACTTCTGGGTTACTTCACTCAGGATGATCTTTCATAGTTCCATTCATTTTCTTGAAATTTCATGATTTCCTTGTTTTTATTTGCTGAGTAGTATTCCACTGTGTAAATATAACACAATTTCTGTATCCATAACTACTTTGAGAAACATCTGGGTTGTTTTAAGATTCTGACTATTACAAATACAGCTGCTATGAACACGGTTGAGCAAATGTCCTTGTTGTACAGTTCAGCATATTTTGGATACATGCCTAGGAGTGGTATAGCTGGATCTTGAGGTAGCACTATTCCTATTTGTCTGAGAAAGTGCCAAATTGATTTCCAAAGTGACTGTAAAGTTTACATTCTAACAGCAATGGAGGAGGATTCTCATTTCTCCACATCCTCTCCAGCATGTGTTGTCACCTGAGTTTTTTAATTTAACTATTAGGATGGGTGTAAGGTGAAATCTTAGGGTCGTTTTGATTTGCATATCCCTGATGAATAAGGACCTTGAGCATTTCATTAAGTGTTTCTGTGCTATTCGATATCCCTCTATTGAGTATTCTCTGTTTAGCTCTGTAACCCATTTTTAAATTGAGTTTCTTGATTTGTTGCTATTTAACATCTTGTTTTCTTTATAAATTCTGGATTTTATTTCTCTGTCAGATATGGGGTTAGTGAAGATCCTGTCCCAATCTGTAGGCTGTCGTTTTGTCCTGATGATATTGTCCTTTGATTCACAAAAGCCTTTCAGCTTCATAAAGTCACATTATTGATTGTTGATATTAGAGCCTGTGCTGTTGGCATTCTATTCAGGAATGTGTCTCATGTGTCAATGAGTTCAAGGCTCTTCTCCAATTTTTATTCTAATAGGTTTTTTGTTTCTGGTTTTATGTTGAGGTCTTTGATCCACTTGGACTTTACTTTTGTGCAGGGTGATAAATATGGATCTATTTGCATTTTTCTACATGTAGACATCCAGTTAGACCAGCACCATTTGTTGAACATGCGGTCTTTTTTCCATTGTATGGCTTTAGCTTCTTTGTAAGAAATCAAGTATCCATAAATGTGTGAGTTTATTTCTCGGTCTTCTTTTTGATTCCACTAATTCACCAGTTTGTTTCTATGCCATGCAGTTTTTATTACTATTGCTCTGTAGTACAGCTTGAGACCAGGGGCTATCTGTTATTGTACAAGATTGCTTTAGCAATTCTGGGTTTTTGTTTTTCCACGTGAAATTAAGAATTGTTCTTTCAAGTTCTGTAAAGAATTGTGTTGCTATTTTGAGAGAATTGCATTGAGTCTGTAGACTGTTTTTGGGAGGATGGTCATTTCCACTTTGTTAATCCTGCCAAGCCATGAGCATGGGAGATCTTTTCAAATATCTTCTTCAAATTCTTTCTTCAGTTACTTGACGTTGTTTTTTTTTTTTTTTTTTTTTTTTTTTTTTTTTTTCCCAAACAGGTCTTTTACTTGGTTGGTTATAGTCATATCAAGGGATTTTATGGTTTTTGTGGCTATTTGTGAAGGGTGTAGTTTCCCTCATTTCTTTGTCAGTCCTTTTGTCTTTTGTATACAGAAGGGCTTCTGATTTTTTTTTAGTTAATTTTGTATCCAGCCACTTTGCTGAAGGAATTTATCAGTTGGAGGAGTTCTCTGGTTGATTTTTTCAGAATACTAATATATAATATCACATTATCCTCAAATAGTGAAACTTTGAATTCTTCCTTTCCAAATTATATCCCCTTGATCTCCTTTAGTTGTCTTATTTCTCTAGCTAGGACTTCAAGTACTATGTTGAAGAGATATGGAGAGATAGTGCATAGCCTTGCCTTGTCCCTGATTTCAGTGGGATTGATTGAAGTTTCTCTCCGTTTAGTTTGATGTTAGCTATAGGCTTCCTGTATATTATTTTTACTATGTTTAGGTATGTCCCTTGTATCCCTGATCTTTCCAAGACTTTAAACATGAATGGGTGATAGATTTTATCAAATGATTTTTCAGCAGCTAAGGAGATGATCATGTGTTTTTTTTTTTTTCCCCTTCTGTTTGTGTATATGGTGGATTACATTGATGAATTTCCCTGTATCAAACCACAGTTGTATGCCTGGGATGAGGCCTACTTTTATGTGTTCTTAGATTTGGTTTACAAGTATTTTATTGATTATTTTTGCATCAATGTTCATAAGAGAGATAAGTCTGAAGTTCTCTTTTGTTGGGTCTTTCTGTGGTTTAGATATCAATGTGACTTCATAGAATGAGTTTCCTAATGTTCCTTCTGTTTCTGTCTTGTGGAATAGTTTGAAGAGTATTGGACTTAGCTCCCCTTTGAAGGTCTGGTAGAATTCTGCACTGAAACCATTTGGCCCTGGGCTTTTTTTGGAATGGAGAATTTGGATGACTGCTTCTGTTTCCTTGGGGGTTATAGGACTATTCAATCTATTTACCTGATCTTGATTTAATTTTGATAAATGAAATCTATCAAGAAAATTGTCCATTTCATTTAGGTTTTCAAATTTTGTGGTATACAGACTTTTGTAGTAAGATCTAATGATTGTTTGGATTTCATCATTGTCTGCCATTATGTTCCCCCTTTCATTTCTGATTTTGCTAGTTTCTCTCTGCCTTTTAGTTAGTTTGGCTAAGGGTTTGTCTATCTTGATTTTCTCAAAGAAGCAGCTCTTGGTTTCATGGATTCTTTGAATTGTTTTCTGTTTCTAATTCATTAAGTCTGATTATTTCCAATTTTCTACTCCTCTTGGTTTTGTCTGCTTCCCCTCCCCCCCCAAGGCTTTTAAGTTTGCCATTAAGTTGTTTGTATGAGATGTCTCAAACTTCTTTCTGAAGGCACTTAGTGCTATGACGTTTCCTCTTAACACTGCTTTCATTGTGTCCCATAAGTTTGGGTACATTGTGTCTTCATTTTCTTCGAATTTTAGGAATTCTCTAATTGCTTGTCTTATTTCCTCCCTGACCAAGCTATCATTGAGTAGAGAGTTTTTTAATTTCCTTATATGTGTAGATTTTTGTTATATATGTTGTTGTTGAGGTCTAGTTTAGGTTATGGTAGTCTAATAGGATACAAGGGATTGTTTTGCTCTTCTATCTGTTAAGGCATGCTTTGTGCCTGACAATATGATCAATTTTGGAGAAGCTTCCCTGATGTTCAGAGATGAAAGTATACTCTTTTGAGTTTGTGTGGTAAGTTCTCTAGATATCTTTAGGTCCATTTGATTCAACACATGTGTAATTGTCATTATTTCCCTTTTTTGTTTCTGTCTAGATGATTTGTCCCATAGTGAGAGAGGAGTGTTGAAGTCTCCCACTATTAAGGTGTTGGAATAGATGAGTGATTTAAGCTTTTATAATGTTTCATTAACAAATGCAGGGTATGTTATATTTGGGGCATAGATGTTGAAGATTGTGTTGTCCTCCTGGTGTATTTGTCCTTTGTTGAGAATGAGATATCCCTCTTCCTCTTTTTTGATTAATTTTGATTGAAAGTCTATTTTAGTTGATATTAGGATGGGTACTCCAGCTTGTTTTCTCAGTCCCTTTTCTTATAAAGCCATTTTCCAGCCCTTTACTCTGAGATAGTATTTATCCTTGTTTCAGAGGTGTGTTTCTTGGATGCAGCAGAATGTTGGATCCTGTTTCTGCAACCATCCTGTTTTTCTGTGTCTTTCTATTTGACAGTTGTTTCCGTTGATGTTGGTAGATAATGGTGACAAATGAATGTTAGGTCCTTTTATTGTACAGTTGGTTGTGCTTGTCTTTTTAATTTTTTTATTGTGACTTTAACTATATCCTGTGTTTTGTTGGGTGTAGTTGATTTTGTTAGATTGGAGTTTTCTTTCTAGGATCTTTTGTTGGGGTGGGTTGCTGTTTAGGTATTGTTTACATTTAGTTTGGTCATGGAATATTATGTTTTCTTCATCTATGTTAATTGAAATATTTGGTGGGTAAATTTGTCTGGGTTGGCATCTATGGTCTCTTAGTATATGATTAATTTATGCCTTTTTGCTTTCATAATCTTTGTTAAGAAAATTGTTGTGATCCTGATAGGTCTATCTTCATATGTTACTTGGCCTTTTCCCTTGGTGCTTTCAATATTTTTCTTTGTTCTGTAGGTTTAGTATTCTGACTAACATGTGACATGAGGAATTTCTTTCCTGGTCTTGTCTATATGGCATTCTGAAAACTTCTTGTATGTTTAAGGACATCTCTTTCTTTAAGTTATGAAAATATTCTTCTATGATTTTCTTGAAAATATTTTCTTGACCTTGTAGTCTGGAATCCTCTAATTCATCTGTTCCTATTGTTCTCAGGTTTTGTCTTTTTATGGTGTCCTTGATTTCTTAGATGTTTTGTATCAGTACTTTTTCTGATTTTATTTCTTTTTTGAGAGATGTGTTGATTTCTTCATTTGTGTCTTCAGTGCCTATGATTCTCTCCTCACAGCCTGAATTCTGTTGGTGATGCTAAAGTCTGTGGTTTCTGATCTCTTTGCTAGGTTTCCATCTCCAGGAATTTCTCTCTGTGTGGTGTCTTTATTGTTTCTAATTCCATTTTCATGTTTTGTACCATTTCCTTCATCTCTTTTTATTTGGATTCTTGTCTGTCCATGATGGCCTCTATTTTTTTTTTTTGTTACTATATGCCTGGATATGTGCTTGTATATATGTTCCTCTATAAGTGTCTCTATTTGTTTGGCTGTATTTGCCTGTATTTCTTTGAGAGCTTTGTTTGTTTCCTCTTTATGTTCCTCTAAGAACTGGATAAGCATATATTTGAAATCATTCTCCTGTGTTTCCAATGAATTAAAATATCCATTGATTTTTATTGTTGCTGGTGATGCCATGACATCCTGATTTTTGTTGGATGTATTCTTATGTCTTCCACTAGCCATCTGATTATCTGTAACATTCACTCTTTGTTTCTGATGCCTGTACTGCAGACTGGGTTGCTCTGTTTACAGAGCTTGGAGTATTCTTCAGGAATATGACAGAAATCCACCAGTTTGAGTGTGGATGTTGGTGTTTCAGCTGTAGCTAAGGGAGGAAGGTCTCATTTGCTCAAGTGTGGGAGTGTGCCTGGAAGTATTCCTTGAATGATTGCATGCTAGTTAGTGTAGATGCCTGGATGGTGGAGTATAAGAGCAGGTTGTGGTGCTGGCAGGGTTTGAGGGCTCAGTGTGCAAGTGTCCAGGTGTCTTAAATGCCTCAGTGGCCAAGAGGCCTTTTGTACTCTCCCCCAGGCCCTCAGATCTGTATGGGTTGCACCATCTTGGCTACAGGAAGTGTTTGCCTAGACTTCACCTGGAGACCGACAGAACAGAGGCTTCAATGTTGAGAACACTGTCCTAGGGAATCCTATTTTGCCCACAGTAGGCATGTGGGTGAGAGAGATCCAGTGTGTGGCTTCTAGAGTAGAGGGACCCTGGTACTTGGGCTCTGCATGCACTCACTCAATGCACTCACTTGCAGGCCTATTAGCAAAGCACAGGCTCCCCACAGTTCTCTACTCCCATATTTGGGCCTGCAAGGGCAAATGAAAGTGTAAGAGATCCATCAGTGGCATCTGTTGTTTGGCTTCTGGGCAGAGAGGCCTGTATGTGGGTCAGCCTCTGCTGTGTTAGTCATTGAGGTGGAGGCTAGTGAGTGGGGCAGTCGCTGCTGCTGCCAGGGCAAGGGAAAGTACAGGGTTTCAAATATTTGCCATTCTCAGACCCTGGAGATGTTGACGTGTGACCTGGATCTAAACTGTCCCAGTTCATAGATTGTCCCATCTAGCCCAAGAAGCCTCAATATCAATGTTCTGTCTTCAGCCACTCCTCCACTCACCAGTTTTGGAGTTTTGGATCATCCGCCCCTCAGATATGGTGCGAACTGGTTGGTGTCATCTTGGAGCCTCTTACTGACTATTTCTTTACAGGATGAAATATTATGTACTATAGATAGTTTGGTTTATGATCTTAAGGTTTGAATATACTTTATACACTTTTAAAAAGCAATCATCTGTTAAACTGGATCTTCTTGTTGTTTATTTATTAACTATTTCTGAAGGTTTAAAACATAAAACCTTTTAAAATTTTTATTTTTTATGTATATATAATGCATTCTGGTCACATTCACCCAGCCCTCCTTTACTTATCTCCCCCCCCCCATAAGCCTCTTCCTACAGTCTTGTCTTTGTATTGTTTTAATTCTCATGTTTTGGTCAACTGAGTTTAACTAGGGCCACTTGTGTGGGCATGAATGTTTCATATGGGTGACTAACCAGTGAAAACATAATCCCCTCTGCCAGCAGCCAATTCCATAGTAATTGTTTCCTGGTAACACAATCACCACATTTTGACATTGTTTTGCCAACTTGAACATCTGTTTTTCATTTCCTATCTCTATTGTAAGAACTTTCCTTTAGACTCCTCTCATTTCTACCCTGGACGACTGCCATGACCTCCCAAATGGTGATTGCTCCTTCCTGCTTATTTCTGTACATTATAGCCACCTTTGTCTACCGTGTCACTTTTATCTACCACTCCCTTGACCATGTACCCTCAGTGGCTGCACAATATGTGCAGCATCAAATCTAGGTTGCCTTTCAAGTTTTTACCTTACTATATGTTTACCTTTCTAAAACTATAGTCTACTGTGGCCAGTACCACTACTCTACTCTATATAGATCCATCTACATTCTTTTTGGTATCCATGTCCTGACTTTTGTGCATCCCATGATCTGGAATGTCCTCTGGTTCATTCTGTTACCCATTCTTTTTCATCCTTCTAAAACCATGGGTTTTCTAACTCTTTTATGACATGCTAGCTTCTGTTCACCTTTGATACTTAACTGTTGCTTTATAGCTCTTATATTGTTCAGGTGGTATGTAAACATACATTATATATGTATACTTTGTCTCCTCAAGTTTTTGAAAGAGTGGAGGATATGAACAAATTCTTACATTTCTTTTAACTCCTTAAAGAAGGCCACATTCACAATAGTTTAATACTAAATATTAACTAAATGAATGAAACCAATGCTGATAACATTGATAAATGAGAAGACATCAGGAATGATGGATTTACCAGAGAAAGACAAAGAATAGGAAGCCAAAATTTTAGTTTTTGTGGGACTTAAGCCCAAACTATGATTGCATCTTTAAAAGGTAAAACATGATATATAAATGACTTAGTGTAAAGGATTAGTACTTTTGAGAACTGGGTTCACCCTGCTCTAGCATTACATAGCTGTGTAGCCTTGGGCAAACAATTTCCCGTTGGGGGAATGTTTGACTTTCCATATCTTGAATTACATGGATACATTTCTAACTTTTGGTTATTAATTTAATAAATATCAAACATTTATTAAATGAAAGACATTGCTCCTGGTTTATAAAACAGCAAATAAAAGAACAAGACACTTCACATTGTTGTTCATGTTTAACATAATCTTATTGTTAGTCAAATAGGGAGAAATAAATATTAACATTTTGCAGATTGTAAAACATTTTTCATTGACACTAAGTCATACAGTCAATATTTGTAAATCAGTTGGGCATATTGATGTATACCTGCCATCCAAGAATTTGAGAGGCTAATGTTTAACAATTATGAGTTTGACATCAAAACCCTGGGCTACATAGGATGTCCCAGGACAGATTATAGTAAAATTCTGTGTTAAAGCATAATAAAGAAACAACATCAGTCCTAGATATGAAGTCTCTAAGACTGTAAGAAAGCAATTTAACCAAGAGACTAAAATTTATAAACACTCCCCTAAAGTAGGGCAATTTGTATAAAGTTCACTTAATAGAGTCTAGATATTTTCATTAGCTACTTATCATCTGCTATGCTGGTCTCATTACAGGAGAAATATTTTGGCTTCTTTTTAATCCAAAGTTACATTTTGAATTACAAGCTATGTTATAGGAAAACGAACCAGGAATTGTTGCTTTATAAATGAGTTGCAACAATCCCTTTCTTTCCCATAGGCTGTATTGTTGAAACAAAGTTAACTTTACATGACATGTTAACATTTCTTGCTTAAGACAAAGGGGAAACAACACTATACTTGATAAAAACTACTCTGTACTTTGCCTTGTGGCTTTTCTCACACTCATATGGTGTGTTACAACATCAGAGGATATTTTTTATTTTATTAAACATAGGAATATTATATATCTGCTTTTAAATCTAATTTTTACTCAAATAATTTTCTTAATCAAATATCATCAAGGTTCCCTAAATATTCAAAATCTTTGATTCATAAACTTTGAAGATTCAACAATAATTAATATATGCACAGAAGAAGACAATGCAGCCACTCCTGATGAGACCTAATTGACTAGGATCAGAAGGAAGGAAAAGAAGACCTCCCCTATCAGTGGACTTGGGGAGGGGCATGCATAGAGAAGGGGGAGGGAGGATGGGATTGGTATTCGAAGAGGGAGGGAACCACAGGGGGGATACAAAGTGAATAAAGTGTAATTAATAAAGAATTAAAAAATAATACTTGAGTTTCTTTGAAAATTTATGAATATTCACATTGAAGCAAAGCTTCATAAAATCAACTATTTCTGTTTTTCCTGCCGCTGAATCCATAGTTCTTATCATTGCATGAATGCTGGGTGTTCAAAAGCATAGTAAGCTGTTAAATGATTTTTTTTCTTCATGTCTTTTTACAACAACATTTTATTTTTTGGGAATGTCATATTTACATTATTCCAGCTTCTCCCTCTCCTCTCTCCAACCACTCTTGTGACCTCTTTATTCCTCTCAAATAATAATAATTATATATATATGCAATAATATGTGTATCTGTATACATATATGTGTAATCTACTGAATCAATATACTATGCTTATATAATATCAGAATATATAATGTCATATAATATCAGAAGATGATTTAAAACTGAGTGCTAGGATACAAATATATGCTATTAAACAATTCCTGAGCTTTTTTTTTTCTTTTGTTGTTATAGGCATGAGGACTTGGATCATGCTTTGCAGTGTGTCCATTACCTTCAGGATAATGAAAAAAATGTTGGATGCAAACTTTCCAACTTGGAGACATTAGACTACAAAGATTTCTTTATTTGTGTTAATGGATCCTCAAAATTGGGACCTATCAGATCCAGCTACATGGTTTTTCAACTTCAAAATATAGGTGATATGAACAAATGATGTCTATTTTGAATCTATTGATTCTCATTTAGGCCGTATCTAAGTGAGCAGGAAAGACAAAAAGAGAAAGTGAGATTTTAAGTGATGGAAGTGCAAAGCCAGAGTATAAAGACAAACTATAGATATAGAACCTAGTAATCTTGTCTTCAACTGATGGATGAGCTCCAAATCATTTTTACATCTTCTGAGTTTGTATGCTTTTTTTTTTTTTTTTTCTGCTGTTTTCAACACGGGATGTGTCTATATCGCCCTGATTATCCTGTCCTGGAACTCACAGAGATCCACCTTTATCTGCTTCTTGAGTGCTGGAATTAAAAGCATGCACCTCCCACTTCCCAGTCTATGATTACATTCTTAATTCTAACAGTTCTAAGAGTGAAAGCTTCTAGATTCAGACAGACTTGGTGCAATGTCAGATCCAACTACAGTGTGTTAGTTAGAAAGTAGCATGTCCCCAGCTTTGGATGAGGGCCACTGCTAACTTAGCAACTTTTGTGTTGATATAGTTTTCTTCTGCTTTCCAGTTAAACCATTGCCACCAGAATTCCTTCATATTGGAGTTGAGAATTCTATTGAAATTATAATGAAATGGAATGCACCTGGAGGGCCCATTCCACCAAGATGTTACACTTATGAAGTTGTGGTCCAAGAAGATTATATTTCCTGGGAGGTATGGATATTGTACTTATTTGCTAAAATCATAAATGTAACTTTTAAAATGTACTAGGTACTGGCTAATCAAAATCTATTACTGTTTAAAAGCAGGTTAGACCATAATAAGTATTTCAGTTTACTTTCCAAAAGGGCAAATCCAGTGCACAAAGGATATATTTATGTAGGTATGTATGTATGTATGATTAGCCATGCCAATTTTAAAATTGTGAAAGACCCTGGAAACAATCTAGTTACTTGTTTCTGATTTCATTTTAATAAACTAAATTCCTCCAGCAAATCAAAATAGATTGTATGGTCTTAAGTAAGACCCAAACACACACACAAACACACCTTGGTGTGTTACTTTGATTTATTCATTTCCAATTTTAAAATTGTATAGTTAAGAAGGTAAACTACTATTTTTCAATGCCTAAATTCATATACAGGTGAGAAAAATGGTTAACTGTGTTAAAGAACTTGTCTTAGTGATGTGAACTGACTTCATAGTCAAATAGTTATAACTAGTCCCAGCCCACTTAAGTCTATACTACATAGTCTCAAGGCTCTGTGAATAAGTTAAAAAATAAAAAAGAAATCACTGTGTATAAGAGGAACTCTGTAGCAATATGAAGTAGCAGCCTGAAGTAATGTCTTTAGTTCCATTCTCCCCTCTCCCCAAGATCCCTGTGAATGTATCTGCGAATTTTGTAGAAGTCTCATATATGAAGTGGTAGTTTTGTCTCAGTTACTGAGTACTAAGGTTAGTCAGACCAAAACTGGAGGGGATACATTTTGAAGATAAACATTCCAGTTTTAACAATATCACCATTCAGTAATCCATACAGTCTTTTCTCACTTATAGAACCTGGGATACTAATATGGAGATTATGAACATTAAACTATGTAGAGTTGTGACTTATTACACATGCTGTTCCTTGTTATAAGCAAGCAATTATCATATTGGAACAAAAAGGAAAATTAAATACAGATAAGTTGTAGAAGAATGACTTTAGGAATCAGTGTACAATGATGACTAGTGCTAGCATTATACCTATCTAGTATCTCAATGCAGGTGTTTTGAGTCCAAAAACATTTTGAAGCTGATAGATGAAATCACCCTAGTTGCAATTAGGTCAAAAAAAAAAAAAAACACACCATATTTTTCCTCGGCTTTCAGTTTGCCACAGATGAAAATGATATGAAGTTGAAAAAGAGATCAAATGAAAGTGGAGAACTATGCTTTCTTGTAAGAAGTAAAGTCAATAAATATTGTGCAGATGATGGGATCTGGAGTGAATGGAGTGAAGAGGAATGCTGGGAAGGTATGCACTAAAAGGAGAGGAACTAGGTAAATGGGGTTTGCTAGCAAAATTTATTTCTTTTCAGTGTACTTACAAATTTGACATCAAAGGGTCTTGTGCATCATATATAAATGGAGAAAAAGAAAGACAATAGGCTTACTGAAAATCCAATATTTATTTGGAACTAGGAGTCTCATTATGCTTTAATGGGAGTACTTATTTATCTGTTACAAGCATTTAATAGTTCTTCTTGGGGAGAAGTCCAGAGTCCATATTAGTCCATATTTTTGTGTTTTCAATTTTCGATAGAACAGAATTTTTTTTTTCTGACACAGTAACTTTATTAAAAGGTAATTAATCACACATGGATATCATTTGATCTTTTTTGTTTGTTTGTTTGAGACAGGGTTTCTCTGGGATACAAAGTAAATAACCTGTGATTAATATAAAAAATAAAAATTATATAAAAAAACAGCATTCATGGAGGTAGAACAGAAATTTTTTTTAATTTTTTATTAATTACACTTTATTCATTTTGTATCCCCCCATAAGCCCTTCCCTCCTCCCCTCCCCATCCCACCCTCCCTCCCCTTTCTGCATGCATGCCACTCCCCAAGTCCACTGATAGGGGAGGTTCTCCTCTCCTTTCTGATCTTAGTCTATCACTTCTCATCAAAATTGGCTGCATTGTCCTCTACTGTGGCCTGGTAAGGCTGCTCCCCCCTCAGGGGGAAGTGATCAAAGAGCAGGCCAATCAGATTATGTCAGAGGCAGTCCCTCTTACCATTACTATGGAACCCACTTGGACACTGAACTGCCATGGGCTACATCTGTGCACAGGTTCTAGTTTATTTCCACGAATAGTCCTCGGTTGGAGTATGAGTCTCTGGGAAGTTCCCTGTGTTCAAATTATCTTGTTCTGTTGCTCTCCTTGTGGAGTTCCCATCCCCTCCAGCTCTTACTATTTCCTACTTCTTATAGAAAATTCCATACACTCTTCCCATCAGTTGTCCATCAGGCTCAGCATCTTCTTTGACAGTCTATACTGCAGAGGCTTTAAGAGGCCCTCTGTGGCAGGTTTCAAGGTTGTTTCCTGTTTTCTTCTGGCTTTCAGAGGCCCTCTGTAGCAGGCCCTCTGTAGCAGGTTCCGAGGTTGTTTCCTATTTTCTTTTTCTTCTGATATCCATCCTCTTTGCCTTTCAGGATGGGGATTGAACATTTTAGTTAGGGTCCTCTCTTTTGCTTAGTTTGTTTAGATGTACAGATTTTCGTGGGTTTATTCTATGTTGTATGTTTATATGAGTGAGTATATACCATGCGTGTCTTTTTGCTTCTGGGACAACTCACTCAGGATGATCCTTTCCAGGTCCCACCATTTACCTGCAAATTTCATGATTTCCTAATTTTTCTTTTTTTATTATTTATTTATTTAAAGTTTTATTTTTCTCATTAGTTATATTTTGTTAATTCTGTATCCCAGCTGTATCCCTCCTTCCCTCCCCAGTCCCACCCTCCCTCCCTCATCTCCTCCCTGCCCCTTTCCAAGTCCACTGCTAGGGGAGGACCTCCTCCCCTTTCATATGACTACGTTTGTCAGGTATTTTCAGGACTGGCTGCAAAGTCCTCCTATGTGGTCTAACAGTACTGCTCCTCCCTTGGGAGGTGGGGAGGTCAAAGAGCCAGTCATTGAGTTCCTGTTAGAAATAGTCCTTGTTCCCCTTACTATGGGAAACCAATTGATTACTGAGCTATCACGGGTCACATCCGAGCAGAGGTTCTAGGTTTTATCCTCTTATGGTCTTTGGTTGAGTGTCCATCTCAGAAAAGACCCTGTGCCCAGATATGTTTGGTCCTTGAGGAGTTCCTATCCTTTCCACATCAAACTCCCCTTCTTTCGTATGATTCCCTGCACTCTGCCGAGGGTTTGGTTATGAGTCTTAGTATCTACTTTGATACACTGCTAGGTAGAGTCTTTCAGATGCCTTCTGCAGTAAACTCCTGTCATACATTCAATGCATATCCCATTTGTCTTTCTAAATGAGGATTGATCATCGTACCCCATGTCCACTTTCTTGATTATCTTCTTTAGGTGTATAGATTTCATTATGTTTATCATATCTTTTAGGTCTATATAAGTGAGTATATTCCATGTTTGTCTTTCTCCTTCTGGGATACTTCACTCAGAATGATCTTTTCTAGATCCCACCATTTGCCTGCAAATTTCATGATTTCCTCTTTTTTGATTGCTGAGTAGTATTCCATTGTGTAAAAATACCACAATTTCTGTACCCATTCCTCCATTGATGGACATCTGAGTTGTTTCCAGGTTCTGGCTATTACAAATAAAGCTGCTACAAACATGGTTGAGCAGATGTCCTTTTTGTGTACTTGAGCCTCTTTTGGGTATATGCCTAGGAGTGGTATGGCTGGATCTTGAGGAAGCGCTATTCCTAGTTGTCTGAGAAAGCGCCAGATTGATTTCCAGAGTGGTTGTTAAGCAATGCAACTGACTCCAAGTGTTTAATGATACCTACTGGTCATTTTTCTAATTGAGATGTTGTCCTGTTTTCATACCTCTTGATGTGATAAAATATGCTGTCCAAAAGCAATTTATTTAGTGCATGATTCCAGATTACAGTCCATCACAGCAAAGATTAGCTAAAAGAAATGAAAAACAGCTACTTGCATCCACAGTAAAGAGCAGAAAGCAGTGCCACTGCTCAGGCAACTCAATCCTTTTCTTTCAGTCCAGGGCCTATCCCACAAATTAATGCTGCCATTTCCAGTGTAGGTATTTCCACCTCCGTTAACCCAAATGAGAAAATGCCTTTCATATGCTTCTACTATAGTGGATTCTCTCTCTCTACTTCCCTACAAATTCAGCAGAATCATTGTTCAATTTTATTTTTAAACTACATATAAAGTACCTACTATGTATCAGATTCCAGGGATTGGATATCCAGCAGTAATTATAACTCTTATTAAATCTATGTTATTCCCAAATTGGGAAAAAGTAAATATTAACCAAGTAAAATATATTATACAACCTGTAGAGACTATGTCAGAATGAGTAATGAGGTCTGCAAGCACATGTATTTATAAAAATAAAAATGCCTTCACTGCTTTGTGTTGCCACTATCAGAAATTAAAAAAAAAAAAACATATGTGTGTTTGTGTGTGTGTGTTGAATTATAATTTTGTCATTAGTTCATAAGTTGTATAGAGTGGATTTTCTTTACCAAAATATACATCATTTTGCATTACATATATTCTCATCAGTAATGTTGAAGACTGAGATTCCCTTTCATTTCACTGGTGTTTCTTGGTAGAGTCTTAATTTAGACATACGATTTAGGAGCAATGACTTTTTGGATCTGCTTGTAGTTTTAAGTCATAGGATACGTTTCTTTTTGGAATTTTCAATTTATAGAAAAATATTTGTATATATAGTATACATAAATATATATATAGTTTAAACTACATGTATTAATTTTTTCTTTTTATTTATATTTTTATTAATTACTGTTTATTAACTTTGTATCCCAGCTGTAGCCTCTTTCCTCATTCCCTCCCACTCACTCCCACCCTCTCTCCCTCTTCCCCACTCATGCCCTTCCCCCAGTCTACTGATAGGGGAAGTCTTCCTCTCCTTCCTTCTGATCCTAGTCTATCAGGTCTCATCAGGAGTGGCTGCATTTTCTTTATTTTCCTACAAATCTAGACAGTGAAAATCTGAGCCCCAGTCATTGACCACTCAGGCCCACAGAAGGATCTTTTTAGGACATTTACATATTTGATTGTATTTTTTTATGTTTTGAGAATTTTGGGGGGAAATATTTTGATCATATTAACATCCTCAACTCCTACCACATCCACTCTCACCTTCTTACTCTCCCAACTTTGAGTTGGCATTTGATACCTGCTAGGAGAGGGAGAGTCTGATTTCCTTAAAACCATGACACCTGGTCATTTGACCACACTCCAGGTCACAGGGCCCATTCTTGTGAACAGTTGGGAAACACACACTAGACTTGATAGAGGGAAAGTAGAACAATAATATTTTTCGCAATAAAAAAACTTCTTAGGCTGGAGAGACGGCTCAGAAGTTAAGAGCACTGTCTGCCCTTCCAGAGGTCCTGAGTTCAATTCCCAGCAACCACATGGTACCTCACAACCACATATAATGACATCTGATGCCCTCTTCTGGCATGCAAGCACACATGCAGGCAGAACATTGTATACATAATAAATTATAACTAAAATAACTTCTTAACAATTGTCTTGACTAGAAAACACACAAACAGCACATGAAAGGAACTTTCTGCCTTGTTATTGTTAATTTTGCATGCTAGAAGACTCATATTGTCAGTTACTTCTCTGGAAATCACCCTTGTAAATTTTTACTATGCTAAGAATTTGAATTTGGCTCAATTGTTTGTTTTTTGTTTTTTGTTTTTTTTTTGTTTGTTTATTTTTTTAAGAAACTATGATTCTAGGGGAATAAGACAAAGACAAATTGAGATGGAGGTAGATTTATAGGTCTGGCTCTAAAATTTAACCTGCTGTGTGTTATTCCAAAACAAGACAGTGATACTAGACTTGGAACAGATTTTTCTAGTTTATGTGTCTCTGCTGACAGTCCTCACTATGCAGAAGTAACATTAACACTTCACTCCTGGGTCTGGTGATCTCTTGTTGCTAGAATGCTGGCTTAGCATGCTCAAGGCTTGGGGGCTCAATCATTACCATTGTTAAAACAAAAGATAACCTACAGAAAAAAAGAGAGAGGGAAAAGAAAAGTCACACCTAAAATGCCAAAGAGCAAAGTCATGTCATGCTCTTCAGTTCAGCCTCTAAATTATGGGACAAATTTTAAAAGGTGACCTTGTAAGGTTGTTTCTTTAGCCTCATGTATATCTTTATTAAGATACAGATATCTTTAAAAATATCTATCTATCTATCTATCTATCTATCTATCTATCTATCTATCTATCTATCTATCTATCTTACAATTTATTCACTTTGTATCCTGGCTGTAGCCCCCTCCATCATCTCCCCCTAATCTCACCCTCCCTTCCTCTTCTCCTCCCATGCCCTTTCCCTAGTCCACTGATAGGGGAAGACCTTATCCTCCCCTTCTATCTGACCCTAGCCTATCAGGTCTCATCAGGGCTGGCTGCAACATCTTCATCTCTGGCCTGGCAAGGCTGAACACCTCCTCCCAAGGGGGAGGTGATCATAGAGCCGGCCACTGATCCCCTTACTAGGGAATTCCACATGGAGACTGAGCTGCCCATGGGCTATATCTAAGCAGGGTCTCTAAATCCTCTCCATGCATGGTCCCTCGCTGATGGATCAGCCTCTGCAAGAACCCCTGAGCCCAGATTTTATGGCTCTGTTGGTCTCCTTGTAGAGCTACTGCTCCTCCATGTCTTTAAGTCTTTTTCCTTCTTCCATAATGTTTTCTGCATTCTGACCAAATTTTGGCTATGAGTCTCAGCATCTCCTTCGATACCCTGATGAATTGAGTCTTTCAGAGGCTCCCTGTGGAAGGCTCCTGTCCTGTTGCGTGTCTTCTGCTTCTGATGCCTATCTCATTTGTCCTTCTGAATTATGTTTCAGCCTCTTCTCTACAGTCCTCCTTGTTGTTTAAATTCTTTAGGACTGTAGGTTTTAGTGTGTTTATCCTACATTATATGGCTAATATTCACTTATAAGTGAGTATATACCTTATCTGTCTTTCTGCTTCTGGGTTACCTCACTCAAGATGACTTTTCTAGATCCCACCATTTTCTGCAACTTTCATGATTTCCTTGTTTTTAATTGCTGAGTAGTATTCAATTGTGTAAATGTATCACAATTTCTGTGTTCATTCTTTAGTTGAGGGGCATATAGGTTGTTTCCAGGTTCTGGTTATTATGAATGCTGCTGCTATGGACATATTTGAGAAAATGTCCTTGCTATATGGTTTGGCATCTTTAGGATACATGCTCAGGAATAGAAGATACATATGTCTTTACTAAGACCAGATCATGTTCCTGAGAGTTAAGAGATATATGGCATTTGTATATTTAATAACTTGATTCTTATTATTCTGGGTTTTTATATGTACACTTATATTTATTACATTTTTCTAATTTATTCCATTTTTATAATTTATTCACTTTATATCCCGATTGTAGCCACCTCCCTTCCCTCCTCTCTGCCCCGTCCTTCCGTCTTCTTACTGCAATCATCCTCCTCCCCTAGTCCACAGAAAAGGGTAGTCCTACTCCCCTGGTATCTGACACTAGCCTATCAAGTCTCAATAGGACTGCCTGCATCCTTCTCTTCTGCGGCTTGTCAAGACTTCCCCACCAGGGGGAATGTGATCAAAGAGTGGACAACAGAGTCCGTGTCAGAAACAACCCCTGTTCCTCTTACTAGGGATCCCACATGGAAACTGAGATGCCCATTGGCTACATTTGATCAGGGGGTCTAGGTCATCTTCATGCATGGTCTTTTGTTGGTACATTAATCTCTGCAGGCTCTCCTTGGGCCCAGATTTATTGGCTTTGTTGGTCTCCTTGTGGAACTCCTATGCTATCCAAGTCCATCTATCTTCCCCACTCTTCTGTTAAGACTCCTCGTGCTCTACCCAAAGTTTGGCTGTGATTCTCAGCATCTGCTTGCATTCCTTGATGGTGGAGTCTTTCACTGGACATCTATGGTAGGCTCCAGTCCTGCTCTCTCTCTTCAATGGCTTCCTGTGTCTATTTTGTATTTGCCCTTCTGAATGAGAATTAAGCATCCTTCCTAGGGTCCTGCTTGTTTTTTAGCTTCTTTAGGTCTGCAGATTTTAGCATGGTTACCCTGTGCAATATGGCTAATATCCACGTATAAGTGAGTGTATACCATGCATGTCTTTCTTGGTCTGTATTGCCTCACTCAAGATGATCTTTTATAGTTCCATCCATTTGCCTGAAAATTTCATGATTTCTTTGTTTTTAATAGCTGAGTAGTATTTCATTGTATAAATGTACCACATTTTCTTTATCCATTTTTTGTTGTCGTTGTTGAAGGATACATAGGTTGTTTCCTGTGCCTATTATCAATAAATCTGCAATGCACATAGTTGAGCAAATTTCTTTGTTGTATGGTGGAGCATCTTTTTGGTATATGCCCAGGATTGGTATAGCTGGGTCTTGAGGTAAAGCTAGTTACAATTTTCTGAGAAAGAACCAGATTGATTTCCAAAGTGGTTGTGCAAGTTTGCACTCTCACCAGCAATGGAGGAGTGTTCTTCTTTCACCACATCCTCTCCAGCATGTGCTTTCACTTAAGTTTTTTTTTAATCTTAGCCATTCTGACAGGTGTTGATAAAATCTCAGAGTCATTTTGATTTGCATTTCCCTGATGACTAAGTATTTTGAGCAGTTTTTAATGAAAAGTGTCATAACATCAAATTATAAACAAAATCTTATGTTATTTGGAACTTATTTTTCTAATTGAAATGGTATATATACAGCACAGGTCAACAAATAACTAGTATATCAAAAATTCACAAAAAGAATGCTAAACTCAGACCCAACAGTGATGTCTGTGTATTGGCAACTATGTCAGTTTAATTCCATTTCTTCACTATTGACTGTTTATGAAATAATTAAGTTTCAATAGTCTTTTTAAACCTTCAGCATTTCTCCCATTATTGTAATTTTTTTTAAATCCTAGGTCATGCAGAGCCAGACTCAAAGATTATTTTCATAATACCAGTTTGCATTTTCTTTATATTCCTTCTTATTCTTCTTTGCCTTGTGGAGAAGGATGGACCTGAGCCAACATTGGTAAGTTGTTTAAGGTTATATTATGTCTTAGACATAATATATACAAAAGTATTATGTTCAAAACTCATAGACATGTATTTCATAGGTTTGCTTGCTCAATATAGGTGTCCAATTTATACTATATACATTATGATATTCTATGGAAATGGTCATTCAAAATTGTTACAGAAAGACCACAATTTGAGGAGTGGCAGTTAATTTTGTCAAATGGACAGAAAGTGCTTTTCACCATGAAATATTACATATCTTTAGATCAGAAAACAGCGCATTTCATGAACTCCAGGAGAAAACAGGTTTTGGAAGAGAAAAAGTGACATAGGTGGCAGGAACTTAAAACAGCTGGTCATATAAATTTGTCCCGTCCAGCGGGAGTTCAACGAGTTCCTAAGGAGGGGCCAAAAGAATGAAATAGAGACAAGGAGACACAAAGAATGAGAGCAAGTCTATAATCTGATCTCGTTTATTTGAAAAATTTCACACAACTTTATAGGGAGAAGGCAGGAAGGGAAAATGTGTCAGCAATATAGTTTACAAAACATAACAGGGTGATTAAGGATGATGCAGAACACCGCAAGAATGTTTACTAAAAGAGATACTACAAGAATGTCAGCTAAGATATCTCAAAATGTCTAGCCTGACACACAGATGTCTCATAGATTCCGGAAACGTAAATCTCTCACCTACGACCTTGTTGCAGCTGTCTGTAACTTTCCACTAGCTGGCCTTGGCTCCCGGCATAAATTTATAGTGAAAATGAGAAAGAGAAATAAATGCACGTGTGCTTCTTCATTCTTTCACAGTCCAGGAAAATTCCAAGGGAATGGTGCTACTCACGTTGTGTTGGATCTTCCCATATTAGTTAATATAATTAAGATAATCTCTCACTAGGCCCACTACATAAATGTAGCTGACGGGTAGCTCAGGCTTTGTTGTAAGGGGAGTGGGGGCTGACTTTGACATGGACTCTTTCACTTTCTTTTGCCAGGCTGCAGGGGAAGTGGATGCGCTCAGTCCTGATGTGCCTGGATGTGCTGGGTGCTTGGGTGGGTTAGTAGGAGGGGTGGGCTTCCCTTTTTCTAAGGAATAGGGAGGAAAGATGGGGAAAGAGGGAAAGGAAGAGAGCAGGGAGGGGGCTATGACTGGGATATAAAGTGAATAAATAAACTGTATTTTATTATTTATCATTCATCCATTATTTAATACAATTTATTCACTTTTTATCCTGGCTATGCCCCCCTTCTCCTCCCAGTCCCACCTGCCCTCTCTATTCTCCCCCTATGCCTGCCTCTAGTCCACAGATAGGGGAGGACTGGTCTCCCCTTCTATCAGACCCTAGCCTATCAGGTCTCATTAAGGCTGGCTACATCATCTTCCTCTGTGTTCTAGCAAGGCTGAAACCCTTCAGGGGGAGCTGATGAAATTGCTGGCCACTGAGTTAATGTCAGAGAAAGCCCCTGATTCCCTTACTAGGGTACCCACTTGGAAACTGAGCAGTCTATGGGCTTCTTCTGAGCAGGGGGTCTAAGTCCTCTCCATGCATGTAAACTGTTCTTTTAAAAAAGATAACCCCTCACAAGTCAACCTCACTGATATTCCCTTACCAGATGACTTGAAACTGTGTCAACATGACACTTAAAATTAAGCATAACAGCGACTTTAAGAAGACACTGTCCTGGAGAAAAACATCTTAATACTGTGTTTTGTAACAACAAAATTGGGGGGAATGCGTGAAGCATTTCACTTCTCTCTGGTTAAATTTCTGACTTGTTAATATTAGTAAACTTGTACTATTAATGATTTGTTATTGACAGATCTGTTTTCATATTTCAGAGCTTTCATGTGGATATCAACAACGAAGTTTAATCTTATGAAGAGACCCTTTTCCTGTCATAGAACCAGGCAGCATGAGTTATATTAAATTCAACTTTTCTCTTCAGATTTCTAATACATCTTCTTGCAAACAGTGTTTGTTTTAGTTTGATTTTTTTGGGGTGTTTGACTCAAGGGCTGGATATGTATCTCAAGTGGGCTTAGTATGTGATTGTCCTGATTCTGCCTTTTAAGTACTGGAATTACAAATGGGTGTCATCATGCTCACTTTCATTATGGTATTTAGGTACACTTTATGGTGCACAAACCCTTAGCAGATAGTAAATTTACTACACTGTGTAATCATTTTCTTTTTTCATAAGTCTATGGTGAGAGTTCTATATGTAGAGAAATCAAGAAATGGATCAGATTTTATTCAGTGTTGTATTAAAAAATAATATGATGTTGCAACGTGAACTACTGCTATATCTTGGAAAATGAGATTTAATGTTTTGTGGATGGTTGTTTTAAAATGAATTCTTGATGAAAAGCCTCACCACGAATAAGAATGAAGGAAGCTTCAAATGTATTCCTTGTTCTGTGAGTATCCCATTTCACAAAAGGAAAAGATGCTATAAGGCTGAAAATTATTAGATGACTATATTTGAAATGTTCAGAACTCATATACAACATAGTAAAAACATTCCCTGTGTTAATTTATATGTAGCCTTTCATTTAAAAATATTAGTGTATGCGTTTGTGCATACATATGTGTTAAGGACTTTATGTGAAGGTTCAAGGACAACTTTCAAGAGTCAGTTCTGTTTTTCCAAACTGATCTTTGAGTTCACACTCCGTTACCTGCTAAGCTTCCTTGGGACCTTGCCTTTCTTATTTTTGTCAGTGTTGTGGCTTTGGAATGCAGGGCACAGAGAGAGCAGACATGTCAATGATCATAAAAAATGGGTATCAGAAATTAGTAAGAAGACCTTAAAAGTACATCCTAATATTCAATAATTTAGCTGCCTGAGTGAAGTAGACAGCTTTAAAAATATGTTTGGAAAAAATATGTTTGGAATAATAGACTTCAAATTCCAATAAAGAAGCAAATTTAGTTTAGATTATTTTTTATGCAATGTTATTTTGAAGTAAAGTATCATCTGAGAGCATATTAGAATTCTTTGCTCAAGACCTACCCGGCAATTTACATTTACACATACATTATTAAAGGTACTGATATCTAAATGTTATAGAATAAATTGCTGATGTCATTTAGTGAAGAAGTGGATAACCATAATTGTGACTCTCATTGCTGGTGATCATCTCTTAAAGGAGAAAAGCTTCTAAATCTGAGTTATCAGGCTGAAAACCATCATTTACAATAATTGCCAACAGAGATAGAATGCACCACAATCCAATATAAATTCTTTTCTTTTTTGTTTTTTTTTTTTACACAAAAATATTTATACAACGATCAAGATCATTAAACAGAAAAGTTCACATTTTAAGTGTAATTTATCATTAATTCTACTGTCCTGTAAGAGTGACAGGAAGTTTCAAGAATCCCTCTGTAAAGAACATCAGGCAATACCCAAGGCTACTAGTGGGGCTTTGTTCAGTGGTATTTTTGAGAACTCTGGAATTTGGATTTCTTTAAAACCATAGAAATATTATAAGAATGTGCTTTTGTTTTAATCCCAGGTTTAGGGATGTGGGGCTGCTTCAGATTATCTGCAGCAGCTGACTATGATTTGTCTGATGCTCTGTCAGAAACATGGTTTTGCCAGCTGCAGATAGTTTCTGCACGTGTGTGACATTTGAAATTCTGGAAACTTTTCAGAGTGTATATAATGTGAGGGCCCCAAGAGATGAGGTTAGCAGTTGTTGTTTTTTTAGGGAGGTTGTTTGAGGTTAGTTAGTAACCATGGTCAAAAGAGAAACAGAAGGAAAAATAATTACTTTCAGAGATCTCTCCCTTCCTCTCTTTCACTCTTTCCCTCTCTCTCCCTCTTTCTTTCCCTTTCCCTCTTTTCCTCTCTCCCTCTTTCTTTCTCTCTCCTTTCCCCTCTATCTTTATTTCTCTCCTATCTAGTATTAGGAGGTGACACTGGGCAGGGGATAAAGGGTGGGAAAAAAAGAACCCACAAAGTAACAAAGACCAGCTACACTTCTGGGAAATGCAGAGAGAGGGAAGAGAATGAATGTGATGCCAAAGGGGGCTGGTAGTTATAGGGAGTTGATGGCTTCTTGTTCCCAATTTAAAGGCAAATAAATATAATCAAAGATTTTTAAAGTTAACAATGGGGTGCAAAAACCCAAACTCAAATATCCAATTTATGATATGAATTGAATTATAGAATTCTGAGAAAAGTGTCTAGTTATGTGAAGTAAAGGCCCTAGATGTTTGGTTTTGGTGAGTTTAGGTGCTTAGATAATAAATGGTTCATTTATCTGAAACATTAGTTGATTTTCAGAGACTTCAAAATAATTGCCAGTTATTCTTCATTCTGATATTAATTAATGAGGACTGCTCTGCATCAGGGAAACACCTAACAGTGAGCTTCAGTCTATTAATTTAAATTCATTTTTCTTTTTATTTATTATTCTTTCAAATAATAAATCCTGAATATAGTCTCCCCTCCCTCTATTCTTCCCTGTCCCTGCCTCTTCTTCTCCTCCAGATCCACAGCTCCTTAGTTTTCCTTCTGAAAAGAGCAGGGCTTCACAGGGACATCAACCTAACAAAGCATAACAAGATGTTATAAGAGAAAGCAAAAGCCGGGATGGAGAGACGGCTCAGAAGTTAAGTACTGGCTGTTCTTTCAAAGGTCCTGAGTTCATTTGCCTGCAACCACATAGTGGCTCATAGCCATCTATAATGAGATCTGGTACACTGACACATATGCAGGCAGGATGCTGTATAAATAATGAATAAATAAATCTTTATTTTAAAAAAAGACAAAGCAAAAGCCAGCATATCAAGGCTGGACAGTGTAACCCAGTGGGGCAACAAGGGTCCCAAGGGAAGGTAAAATAGTCAAAGACAGCCTCTGCTTCCACTGTTGGGAGTCCCACAAGAATGCCAAGCTACACAACCATAACATATATGCAGAGCACCTAGGTCAGATACATTCAGGCTCCCTGATTGCTGCTTCAGACTCTGAGCCCATATGAGGCCTGCTTAGTTGATTCTGTGGTCCATGTTCTCCTGGTGTCCATGGCCCCTCTGGTTCCTACAATCCTTCCTCTCCTTTTTTGTAGGTTTCCCCAGGCTTCACCAAATGTTTGGCTATGGGTCTTTGCATGCTCCCAACACCTGCCAGAGGAAGACTATGTGGTGAGATTGGGCTAAGCACTGATCTTTGAGTATCATTAGGAATAATTTCACTGACTTTTTTCCCAGTCAGTATTAGTTCTAGCCTAGATTTCTGGGCCATGTGGGTTTTGGTTCCTGGCCATCCAGGGTAGTACCATGCATGGGCTTCCTCTTGTGGCATGGGCCTCAAGCCAAACCACTCATTGGTTTACCACTCCCACGAACTCTGAATCACCATTGCTCCAGTATATCTTGCAAATTAGGCAGGTCGAAGGTTTTATAGCTGGATATGTGTCCCAGTCATGTCACTGGAAGCTTTGCCTATTTACAGCAAATGGCCAGTTCAGGCTCCATGCCCCTTATTACTAGGAGTCCACTCTGTTCACCCTCATAGGTTCCAGGAAGTTTTCATTATGCTATGTTTCTACATTGCCCAAACAAATGCCCCCACCCCTCCAATTCTAATCATCTCTCCCTGTACTCGCTCTCTCTGTCCCTCTGTATCCTACCTTATCTCTCCTGTTCCCATCCCTCCCTTTCCTCACATCCCTGGGAAGGGCAAATAAAACAGAATTTATTAATTTAAATTCTTAATTTTCAGAGAAGAGGTTCCATATCATTTGAAAAAACACTTCCAGATTGGTGTCAGGTTGATTTCTGTTGACCTACTCTGTCAGAAAAAGAAGTAACAGGTAACACTTAAGAAATATCTTAAAAACAAACAAAGATGTAAACCCTATGGTAACTTTGATAAAAAGCTTATAAGAAGCTGACAAGCATTTATAAAATCCAGCTGTATCATAGAATACTGACGGTTTATAGTACTTGAGCCTTCTTTATCCACTTCTTCTTGCCACAGAAAAATGAAAACTCTTTCTGGGTCAGGACAACCTATAACAAATGGTTCCACTTTATCCAACTGCTAGCATAAGACTAAGGTTTTTTTCGTTGGAGGCTTGGTAGTCAGTATTTCTCATCTTCACCCATTGTAACAGATGCTTTGTTACAGAAAGTAAAGGCCGAGACTTCCTTTTCTACATAAGAACCACAGGTTGGATGGAAACTATATCCCATGCATAGCTGACAAAGAATGCTAGTCCCCTAAACCTTACCTCAGCTTGCTTATAAGAAAGAGATTTCATACTGATAGCAAAAGAAGTTCCAGGAAGTATAGGGATAACTTTGTCTTGCCAGTAAGGGGTACAGGTGAAAGTAATAGGCTTCAGCCTCCATCAATAGACCAGTATTAAGCAATGCCTGTCAATGGTGAGAGTAATCTATTAGAACAGAGAGTTCTATAATGCTTCCTATTTATTATTTTGAACAAAGAATGAGAAATTTCAAATGTAAGGCCTCTTAAAATGTAGATTTTGCTGACAAGCAATAAAGAGAAGTGTAGCCGCATGATAGTGTTGGTAGTATGTGGAAACAAATGTGCAGTTCCTCTTTACAAACAAGAACATCCAACAGTTAAGAGAATTTGGGTGGAGTGCAGAGAGTCTTACGAAAGAAGGGGGAGTGGATAGAAGGACCTGGAGGGGACAGAAACTCCACAAACAGACCAACAAACCTAAAAAATCTGAGCCCAGTGGGCCCTGCAGAGAGTGATGCACTAACCAAGGACTACGCATGGGGAGTACCTAGACCCCACTGCTCAAATGTAGCTCATAGACAGCTCAGTCTCCATAGGGGTTCCTAGTAAGGGGAGCAGTGGCAATCTCTGGCATGAACTTGGTTG